CTTGATTATTTTGAAACATACTTCAAAAGAGATGAACAGGAAGATAAAAACCAGCGTGATTGTCTTCCATGCGAGGAACCATGTCTGTCAGAAAAGAGCGAAATAGAGATATTTAGATCTGGAAAGTATCTTGACATGCAAAATGACACCCGTGAATACTTGAACGACAGTGACTGCACACCCAAGCCTAAAAAGAAAAATGTATGTTCAAAATCTGGATCTAAGACCAAAAAAAAGACCAGTGACCAAAAGTCCAGGAAACCAAGTCTGTCAGCAGTGAGTGAGACACAGAAACAAAAGCAATCAGAGGAAGCAAAAGAGCTGGATACATCTGATGATGAAGGTTCAGATTCCTTCCAACAATTCCTAAAAACAGTTCCTAAGATCCAACCCTTAAAACCAATACAATGTAAAAAGGGATCCAACCCTGCTGACCAACAGACACAGAAACAAAAATATTTAGAATCAGGATTCAAAATCTGTGACCAAAAGTCCAGGGAACCAAGTCTGGCACAGAAACAAAAGCAATCAGAGGAAGCAAAAGAGGTGGATACATCTGATGATAAAAGTTCACATTCGGATTCATATTTTGATCGAATTTTAATTTCCTTACCTTCAGATCAAGTCCTAACAGACTGTGATTCAGATTCTTATGACATATCAATTTCTACACATTCAGAAATGGTTCATTGTCAAAAGGGATCCAACCCTGCTGACCAACAGACACAGAAACAAAAATATTTAGAATCAGGATTCAAAATGTGTGACCAAAAGTCCAGGAAACCAAGTCTGTCACAGAAACAAAAGCAATCAGAGGAAGCAAAAGAGGTGCATACATCTGATGATAAAAGTTCAGATTCCTTCCAACATTTTCTAAAAACAATTCCTAAAATCCAACCCTTAAAACCAATACAATCTAAAAAGGGATCCAACCCTGCTGACCAACAGACACAGAAACAAAAATATTTAGAATCAGGATTCAAAATCTGTGACCAAAAGGACAGGGAACCAAGTCTGTCACAGAAACAAATGCAATCAGAGGAAGCAAAAGAGGTGGATACATCTGATGATAAAAGTTCACATTCGGATTCATATTTTGATCGAATTTTAATTTCCTTACCTTCAGATCAAGTCCTAACAGACTGTGATTCAGATTCTTATGACATATCAATTTCTACACATTCAGAAATGGTTCATTGTCAAAAGGGATCCAACCCTGCTGACCAACAGACACAGAAACAAAAATATTTAGAATCAGGATTCAAAATGTGTGACCAAAAGTCCAGGAAACCAAGTCTGTCACAGAAACAAAAGCAATCAGAGGAAGCAAAAGAGGTGCATACATCTGATGATAAAAGTTCAGATTCCTTCCAACATTTTCTAAAAACAATTCCTAAAATCCAACCCTTAAAACCAATACAATCTAAAAAGGGATCCAACCCTGCTGACCAACAGACACAGAAACAAAAATATTTAGAATCAGGATTCAAAATCTGTGACCAAAAGGACAGGGAACCAAGTCTGTCACAGAAACAAATGCATTCAGAGGAAGCACAAGAGGTGGATACATCTGATGATAAAGGTTCAGATTCGGATTCATATTTTGATCGAAGTTTAATTTCCTTACCTTCAGATCAAGTCCTAACAGACTGTGATTCAGATTCTGATGACACATCAATTTCTACACATTCAGAAATGGTTCATTGTCAAAAGGGATCCAACCCTGCTGACCAACAGACACAGAAACAAAAATATTTAGAATCAGGATTTAAAATCTGTGACCAAAAGTCCAGGAAACCAAGTCTGTCACAGAAACAAAAGCAATCAGAGGAAGCAAAAGAGGTGGATACATCTGATGATAAAAGTTCAGATTCCTTCCAACAATTAGTAAAAACAATTCCTAAAATCCAACCCTTAAAACCAATACAATCTAAAAAGGGATCCAACCGTGCTGACCAACAGACACAGAAACAAAAATATTTAGAATCAGGATTCAAAATCTGTGACCAAAAGGACAGGGAACCAAGTCTGTCACAGAAACAAACGCAATCAGAGGAAGCAAAAGAGGTGGATACATCTGATGATAAAAGTTCAGATTCTGATTCATATTTTGATCGAAGTTTAATTTCCTTACCTTCAGATCAAGTCCTAACAGACTGTGATTCAGATTCTGATGACACATCAATTTCTACACATTCAGACAAATATAAGGAACAACCTAAGCTGGAATCTGTTCAGCTCAAAATGAAGGGACAGGGGCTTGCGCTTCAAGAGGAGGTACATAAGAGAGGAGCCGCTGTCAGAGAACCCGCGAGGAACCGGAAAGGAAGAAAACTAGCTAAGCAAGATGGAGAAAAAAATGATGCCCTGGATCACTTGCTGTTAGAAAAAGACAGACACATCGCAATCCTTAAGGCAAACGCAGTTAAAAGGCAACGTGTGCTTGTCTCTCTGCAACAGGAACGGGAACATATGTTTAAGATTCTGAGACAGGAACGGGACCGTGAGCTTTTCGCTCTGCGACCAAAAACAATTGACCAACAGGCACAGACACAAGTATATTTAGAATCAGGATTCAAAATCTGTGACCAAAAGGCCAGGGAACCAAGTCTGTCACAGAAACAAACGCAATCAGAGGAAGCACAAGAGGTGGATTCATATTTTGATTCAAGTTTAATTTCCTTACCTTCAGATCAAGTCCTAACAGACTGTGATTCAGATTCTGATGACACATCAATTTCTACACCTTCAGACAAATATAAGGAACAACCAAAGCTGGAATCTGTTCAGCTCAAAATGAAGGGACAGGGGCTTGCGCTTCAAGAGGAGGTACATAAGAGAGGAGCCGCTTTCAGAGAACCCGCGAGGAACCGGAAAGGAAGAAAACTAGCTAAGCAAGATGGAGAAAAAAATGATGCCCTGGATCACTTGCTGATAGAAAAAGACAGACAGATGGCAACCCTTAAGGCAAACGCAGTTGAAAGGGAACGTGAGCTTGTCTCTCTGCAACAGGAACGGGAACATGAGTTTAAGATTCGGAGACAGGAACTGGACCGTGAGCTTTCCGCTCTGCAACTGGAACATAACCATGAGCTTAGCATTCTGCGACAGGTACTTGACTCCTCATTAAGCGGGCCATTTGCAAGTCCCACAGCACACATGGTTCAAGAGAACTGCAAGCTTGTCGCTCTGCAGCAGGAAAAGGAATCACTAGAGCTCCTCTACAAAGAGACCCTGAAAGAAAAGGAAGAGGCCGTGGCATGCCTAGTTGACGCACTAGAAAGAGATACTCATAACGGAGAGATAATCCTCAGCTTAAAAGGTGCACTGGCAAAAAAGGACAGGACAATTGTAAAGTTGGTGGAGAAACATCACCAAGAACTGAGCGAGCGTCAAAGCACATACAAAGAAAAAGGACGAGTTCAGCTTCCCGTTGGGAGGAGGAGCTCACTGAACACCTAAGGATGGCAAAATATCACTTCCCGACAAGCCCATGAACAAGACAAAGGACAAGTGTCTGCAACTGATGTCACACAGAGAGTTGAAGATCTCACTCAGCATCATTCACGAGATAGAGAAGAACACCTCTTTACTTGGACTTCCTCAGACCTCTTAATTCACCAGCGGGGACACGGCTTCCAAGACATGAAGGGCTGTATAGATGGCCAGATATGGGAGTCATCTGAGAGGATTGGACTTGCACTGAGAGCCAGGTGCCCTCATGTGCCCCACGACGAGGCAGAGACCATCTCACTATGAACTTTTTTTGTTCCTTTATTTTCAAAAGCAAGGGCTGTAAGGTGGAGCAATTTGTAGCACTGTTTCTTTGCAACGTGTTTGCCAGTTCTCCCCTTGCATGCGCGGGTTTTCTCCGGGTGCACCGGCTTCCTCCCGCACAAAAACATACCTGTTAGGTTAATTGATATTTCCAAATTGTCGTTAAGTGTGAGTGTAATTGGTTGTATGACTCTGCGTTGCCCAGCAATATACTGATGACCTGTCTTTGGCTTAAAGGGTTCATAGAATGCAAAGCTCAGTTTACATTGTCATAGATAAATAACGATAGTTCAGTGGGTGAAATGGACGTACAGAGAAGTTCCAAGCCCATTGACACCTCCTTTCTCTGCAAATCTCACAAGTCTAAACTTCCACCACAAAACAGGCGAATCCAAACAAATTCACTATTTTGGTTCTGGCCTGTACTTTTGTCACACCCATACTTATATCAAGGATCAGATAACTTACCTGTAATTTATGGCCCACGTATGAGCATACGCTGGCATATGTCGGGACGTACTTGCTGTATGTCGACATGTACCAGCGTGCTTCAGGGTACTTCAGCGTGCTCATAAGTTATACAAAACGTACCCATAACTTATCCAATGTATGCCAGCATTTTTGCCAGATCTGTCGCTTGCAAATCATCAAGGTGTGATAGGGGCTTCAGAGTTTTTCACAATCTATTGATTGTGGTGAACCCTCAAAAATAGGTGCTCTCGATCGTTCATCAGGTGTCCTTGTAGTTACAGATTTCCTAGGTGAGCAGTGCGGTAAATTGGTTCATTCAGACGTGATGTAAGTTAAACTTATATCATCCAGTTGCGTGGGCCTCACAAACATGTAAAACATGACTCAAATTTAATTTTAGTCTTACTAGAAGACTTCCTTCTATGCATTTTATCTTTAGCTTTACATTAACTGCGGCTTTACATCTTCAACTATAACTCAGCTAGGTTAAAAGAACTTCCCAAATGCGTACACCCAAACATCTTCTTATAATACCCAAACAGTTTTTCTGTCCATGCTTAGGGAAGGTATATTCTCATTATGATACTATCTCCACTATGTTTCCCTATATGTTTGGTTTTGTCAAGGTTATATACAGCTTTTGTTCATAATGCTGGGCTAATTAATGTGTTTGCAAGGAACTGTTAATGCTCACTTTTCTTATTGGTGTAGTAAACTTACTGTATAACTAACTGCTGTTTTTCTCTTTGCAGATTGGTTACTGGAACGAGTACACACGATTTGTAAATATTATGGATCCGCAGGTCTCCAACGACTCCTCAGTGGAAAACCGAACCATTGTGGTCACTACTATTATGGTACACTTTCCACGCAGTTTTAAGTGTGTCACATATTCTGCCACTCGAGGTCATGGTGTTGATTCCAACAAGTGATACATTCTGTCCTGGACGGGTAGAACCACATCTTTTTTGTGTTGCTTTCCACCCACTCACTACATGTTGAAACAGTCGGCCCCAAACCAGCAAAGGTGGCAGTTTCGAGCGATGGGGGAGTGTTTCGACTGTATACGTGTGGGTGTCAAAGCATTTTGGTTTTCCATGTTTTAGTGGCCTGTCGTAGCAGTGACGTCACAATAAATGGTGTAAGTGATTAAGGTTGACTCCATCAGTCACAAAAAAAACAAAACATAAAAACGCATACGTAAGTAGACCCGTCTGTCCTCATCAAGTAAATGTTCAATGACACTTGGGACAGACTGACTGCATAATGATGAGAGAATGATGCTACAGTGGTTTCACAAGCTGGGCAAAGCAAAATAAACAGCATTGGAGAAGGATTGGTTGGTATGGCGGTTTCCCCTGTTATTACTTCTCCAATCTATTTTGTATTGCTCTTCCATGTGTTCTGTGCTGAAGTATGCACTAATCCTCAGCACTTTACTGTGTTGCAAAAATAAGAATTGAACACTTCTGAAATATTTTTAGGTCTAAATATATTAAATTGCCCAAATGTTTCGGGCTTAATATCCGAACTGCTTTTAAAAGATCAGAGTTATACTTATCTTAAAAAAGGATCCACTATTCTGCAAAAAAACAACATCTTTAGTAGTGACAAAGGGAAATTCATTCTGAACAGTATTGTCTCTGTTGTCTTACAAAATGTATGTACAGTTAGATGACTGAGCATCACTCAGAAGCCAGAGGGAACAATTGGGGGGACCAAACACCATCTCTGGATAGAGAAAAAACAGAGAAGGAAATACTCTGTGGATCTGGTGTGAGGGGATACATTCAGCACAGAACAAACAAATCATTCCTCTCCCACTTGCACTTTAATTGTGTGTGGCTGTAATGACAATGCCGCCTCTCCTGAGCAGCCCTGTTGTTTCGTAATGACGATGTGCTCAGTAAGAGAAAGGACAAGCTGCACAAATCTTTTTTTAATAATGGAGTGAAACAATGTGCACGCTTCAGCTCTTCTTTTGTTATGATATATTTAATATTTATTTATGTGCCTGCTTATTTACTAAAATTAAACAGTTTTTTAGTTTAAAGTTATTAATATCAATAATTTTTATTCATATATGTATTGATTTATTTTTTGATTTACAGTATAATAATAATAATAATAATAATCTAAACTTTTACAAAAAAATTGTAATTACATTCATATTTAAAAATAATATCAACCATTATTATAATTACCTCTGTTTTTTTATTATTAGTATCATAACTATCATTAATATGTGTGCAACTTTTATATATATTTATTGCCCATCCCAGTAGGAGTGGTATTTATTTATTTTGATATTTAAATTAAAGTGTAAATAGAGCTTAAATAATGGTCAAACAGGTAAATCTGCACATATATGGAATAAATTCACCTCAACTTCCTTAAAAATCATAAGTGTATGAAGAAAAAGGATTCTGCTCCAAGTCAAACATATTTAAGTTAAAAAACTCTTGACTATAATAGTGAGACATAACTAAACTAAGCTACCATGTACAAAGACAACCATGGTTGAAAACCATAATCATGAGGTGATGCAATGATATCACAGTTTAGCATGGATATTATGACTGAGAACCAAAGTTTATCATAAAGAATTTGAAATGTGATCAACTAGATTTTTTTAGAGCAATTGGAATGTTTTCAAACTAATTCAAAATGCAAATCCAAGAGGTGAATACCTTTTTTTTTATTAAATGATTTGCTTATTCAGGTACCAGTAACCTTTAGTTAATTTATTGCTTACCTTCTTTGAGTGTACTAGCAGCTAGCAGACATGAGGATTCCAATTACTTTTGGTCATAATTTGGTAATCAAAATGGAATTAGGATATGAGAAAACACATGTACGTTAACATTATATTTGTGTTTAAACCCTAAGTGAAATAAAGATTGTTCTAGTGGGGCTGGGCGATAATTCAGTAACGATATATATCGATCGATAGACGTGTGGTGCAATAGAAAAAAAGAGAGTCGATAAAAGTTCGATAAAGAAATGCAGTTTTCCTTCCTTCTCATTGTAGCCTATCATGTAGGTTTATGCTAGTCACTACTTCCTCCCAACCAATCACAACCGCGGACTCAGGCACGCCGTCACAAAGCGCCGCCCTCTCAAACCACAACACAGAGCACATGAAGATGTTACAGCAAGGAGAGGCGGAGGAAATTGTTCCAAAGAAGGTTTTTGTAGTTCGTCAGTTTGGCAGTATTTCGGTCATGGCAAGTCGGACTAAAAACAAACCACAGTCATCTGTAAAATGTGTAGGGAACCAGTGGGGGGCGGGTCCATATATTTACTTGTTATATTTATTTTGGTCACTTTTCTGGTCACTTTAGCTTATTCTTTGTCAGTATTTAATAACGTAACTCATGTCTCTTAAGTTATTTTTCTTTAAAACAATTCTGTTATGGTTAAAAAAGTTGGTTAAATAAATATTTAATTGGAAGTCTGTGTTTGTGTTCTTTATTAGAATTAAATCATTTAGCAATATCATAAAAAGTCCAGGCAGAGCTGCACATAAAATATGGTTTCAAATCTTTTCAATAATTATCGATATCGATCAATATGCATTTTTTTTATCGATAAGCTTTTTTTCTATATCGCCCAGCCCTATGTTCTAGCTTTATAAACAAAAGCTCAGACATGTTAACATAGCATACCATGCGATCCATCTTGTGAGCTTTGTCTTTACTCAACAGTAAACACCTGAAATAATCCCAAAAAAAAAACATCTAAGAAACAAAATAATTTAACTAGAATGTCTTCCTGACTTGTGCCAGACCTTAGCAGAGCTGAGCTTGGCAGGCCTACAGTAGGGGAGTTCTTTTTTTCCAGCCAGGTACACATCATGTAAGCTTTCCTCCTCATATCTTCAAGTATCTCAAAGTTCCTAAAAATGAATGATGCACACAGTCTGTTTTGCAGGATGTTGGTTTTCAATTTCAACCACTAGATCACCTTAGCCTTGGTCAGTCGGAAGAACTGGCCATGAGCCATGATCTATGATGGCTTCATCTCCAGTGTGGACCTCCCAGAGCCTCACGGAAAAGAGGAAGAGAAAAGCCTGAGAGTTTTGATATGTCGTCAAGGCACATTGGGGAACAAAGGCACACCTCTGTAGCAGTGTCCTGTGATACTGTTTTGGGCTTGGGGAGGGTAACAAAAGCTTGAGTTTCCCCGAACAGCAGGGTCCAAAATTTTTATAGTTAAGGCACAAGAATTATTATTATGATTATGATTATTATTATTATTATTATTATTATAAGTATTAGTAGTAATAGTAGTAGTATTATTATTGTTATTAATATTATTATTATTATTATTATTATTATTATTGCTAAGATACCAGAAGTACACTCTGATCCCTCTCCTGTCTCTAACATTTACTTGTGAAACCCATTCCCCACCCCCATTTTCATCCCCACTCTCCACTAAGCTGACCCATGCCTTGCCTACCACTGACTCAACCCAATTATAAGAATATTGTGGCTAATACAATTTACAAATACCTTTTCTTTCACATAAAAACCTGTTATTTGGATTTACAGGTCAATATAAAAATTTAAACATATTGGTTTGGCTTGGTGTCTGCTTGCTGTTGAGGCTTGATAAGAGCAGTCAGAGCGTCTGATCATTCTGCTTTTATCACTTCACAACTGTGCATTAGCGGGCCATTATTTGTTTATGCAACACTGCATGGACATGGTTGTAGCACCTATTAAAAAATGGACTGTGTGAGTGCTTGTGCTTGGTGTGCATTTCTCATTTGTGATTACATTAAAAGGAAAACATTTCAAGGACAGAGGGCAATTTCTTATAGATTAAATAAAACCTTCAAGTAAAGGTTTAAAAGCACTGTCTAATTTTAAACCTCTCATAAAGTCAGGGCCTGTTATACAACAACCAAGACAACAGAAAGACGAAAATTAAATGCAATGATTGAAAAAAATAATTGCGAGTCTTAAAAGACCCGAAGAGAAAGAGTCCTAAATATTTATATCCCCACTTGTTTCTTAACTGCTACTTGAAAAAAACAAACAAAAAAAAAGCTTGGAGAGGTAACTCCAAGTGTATAACATTTAAAACCCTCAGCCCCAAACTGGAAGTATAGATTTGGTATATTGTTGGGCCAATTAATGAACATTGATTCACTATGTTCACTAGTCATAAAGTGATGAAAAAAGTCAGTCACAATAGTTGAGTAGGCTGTGCTTTCAGGCATGTTTAACTGATAGAAAGAGCCCCAAATAAAAAAAGTAAAATATCCATTTGACACGAGGGATTGCTGTAGAGTCAATGAGTCGATGCAATTAGCTGGTTTTCCTTAGATAGAAAACTTTGAATCAATCTGACTGTATGATCTAGAACAATTGTCTTTGTAAAGTGCCTTGAGATGGCATGTGTTGGGAATTGGCATTATTATCTGAACTAAATTGAAAATGAATCCATCTTACAAATAAGACAAGACCTGAATGGAAACTTTCTTTGATGTTAAGGCAAATTTAAAGTCTTTAAAATTTGCTCCTGTTATTCAAATGAAACTAACCTGGCAACATATTTTAAATCTTTTTCTAACTGATTTTGAACTGCAGTCTCCTTTTGGTTCTAATGCTGCCCTTATTAATCTCCCACATTAAAGATAGCTGTAACAAATATCCACTTGGCTTTCTGTTGGCTTTCCATTATCTTGGACCATCCACAAAATACCCTAACCATGTTAATCATAAATACCACATGTATAATCAATCTATTGAAATGATTGGCTGAGTTTCTGTTTGTTTTAACAAGCAGTTGAACAAAAAAAACCTAATAAAGTGGCCAGTTACCATGAAAGTGCGAGTAATTAACAGCCTGATTATGAGAGGCGTCTTACCCTTGAAATGCAGAGGTAGTTTTATAAAGAGGCTGGATTAAGAATTACTCATGGTTTATAGGTTTGGAGGTTAGGAGTTCAGGCATAAAGAAATCTCTAAATTGAAGAGCTCTAACATCATACAAATTCTGAGTGTCTGTGTGTGTATGTGTTGGTGTGTAAGGGGGGTCTGTTTTGTGTCTGTGCATGCATTTGAAAGCATATTTGCATATTTCTGTATTTTTAAACATGAACAAGGGCATAGGAGTGAATAAACCAGCATATGTTTGAATCAACAGGAAGCTCCTTATGTGATGTACAAGAAAAATTATATGCATCTGGAGGGGAATGAGAGATATGAAGGCTACTGCGTCGATTTAGCATCTGAGATTGCCAAACATGTTGGAATTAAGTACAAACTGTCAATAGTAATGGATGGCAAGTACGGAGCCCGAGACCCTGAGACCAAGACGTGGAACGGGATGGTGGGTGAACTGGTCTATGGGGTGAGTACTGGGAGTCTCTATTCTGCTGATTACATGACAGTTTGCAAGGAACTTCAACATGAGAGGAGATCTCATTTTTCTGTCTTAAGGTGATCACCAAACCCACTATGAACTCATCAGCTCTTGCCCCAGTTCAAAGTCCCATGATGTCCCATGAAGCTCAGCTGTGAGTGAATTTGTCAAATGCAGCCTGAAGCATTTGGGAGTTGGTGATCATCTTGAGACGGAGAAAATGAAATCATTTCTCAGTGCTGTTCATTGCATTTAATCCTTCTTGCTTAGTCTAGAAACTGTCTCTCTTCCTCTCTTTTTCTTGCAGTTGAAACAGAGGTAGGTACATGAAAACAATGAGTCCATATGGCAAACACACTGTAATCACTTTGATGAATGAAAGATTGTATGTCTTTGAAGTAACTGTGTAATTATGTTCAATGTTTCACGCGTTTGATGAATTATGCCACATTCACAGCTGAGTAATCTGCTTCAGAATCAACAGCTAAATGATGGTTTGCGGTTTGAAACAACAAGATCCATATGTGCTGCGCTTCACAACCTCTCGCATTAAGTCGGGGGTCACAGCGTGTTATACATCTGAGGAGAGCAAGCATGTAGCACTTGCAACACCTTGAGAATTTCCAAAATTATCCCACTCCCTCCTAGTGACTATTCTCTGAGGCCTTAATAGTTGAGCAGGGGCCAAATACAAAATGCATGAGAGTTAGACCTCTTCACTTGTTCAATATTCCTACTATCAGCCAGACAAATTGCTCAGTTTCATGTGCCAAATTATCTTTCAAATAGGAAAAGTCTACTCCCTGCAGATGAAAGTGGTGGGAAAATGATTCCAACCACATTGCTGTCAACTCTTTCCAGCCCTGTGCCTTTACAGCAGGTGGGCTGGATCTAATAGTTTTGTACATCGTAACCTTTTGACCAGTAAATTAATTTGATTTCAGTTGTCTTTTAAAAGGTTAGGCCCGAGGCTCCTCTTTATTGTTTTGTTTGCCTCGCCATTGATTGAGCAAAGCGCGGGAATTAAAATGTTATAGCCCACGTTTCAGTGTTGCGTTGACAGACTAAAGAAAACATTCTTATTTATTGGCTCTATTTTTGCCACTTCTTGCTCCGACCTCATAAAAAACAAACACTCTATTTCTCCTTCGATTCGATGTTTTCTCGTTTTCGACTTGAAAAGACAAACGCAGCACAATGCAACAATGGACGCTTTTGTCTTTTCCCACACTAGCTCCTTTGAAGAGGAGCATTATTTAATTAATCGCACACGCACAGAATGCAGTAAAATTGTCTAACGTGATTAATTATTTTCTTCTGCTTTTACAGAGAAAGCCGTTGTGATTTCTGAAAAAAGGGCAGCATAACCACCTTCATTGGATTTGTTTTGATAGCATAATGTGATTGAAGAAGCAGAGCAAAGGGAGAAGGAGATAAAGAGAAACAGCTTGGAGGAAAAAATACGGAGCCAGAATAAGCTATGTCTGGGAAACCAAGTGAAGGACACAGCCAGACCTCTTAAATTTATATATGCAGCAATAACTTTATATTCAGACGCTGGAAATATTTGAAAGACATGCACTTTTCTTTCCTACTTTGGTGCAAAAATCCGGTTTAATCTTTAGTTTCTATGTATCTTTAAATTTCTTCCACTTTCTGCCTCATTTAGTCAAACATGACTCAAATACCCTTCTGTCTCAATGGATCCCTTCCAAGCTGCCTCTCTTTGAGTTTTTCTCTTTTCTTCTTTTAAATGGAGCAACATTTCTATGTGAAATTTTGCTTCACTCTGTTCTCATCTTAGATGTATTACCTACGTTTTCAGCAACTTTTCTGCTTTCCTGTTATTCATCTTTCTTTTTTTCACAGCTTTCCTGAGAGAGGATTTTTTCTTTCTTTACAATCATACATAAACTGAGATTGAAACAGCTGCAGCCATTCACACATACAATGACCTATATCCCTAACATGTTTCATGACTAATGCTTGCTGTGCATGTCCCTATTTCCAGAGGGCAGATATAGCCGTTGCGCCTCTCACCATTACTCTGGTTCGAGAGGAGGTGATAGACTTTTCCAAGCCCTTTATGAGCTTGGGCATCTCCATTATGATAAAGAAGCCACAAAAGTCCAAGCCTGGCGTGTTCTCCTTCCTGGACCCACTGGCCTATGAGATCTGGATGTGTATAGTGTTTGCCTACATTGGCGTGAGCGTGGTCCTGTTCCTGGTCAGTCGGTTCAGCCCATATGAGTGGAACCTCGAGGAACAGGATGAGACCAAAGACCCCCAGACTCCCCCCGATCCTCCCAATGACTTTGGCATCTTCAACTCACTCTGGTTCTCACTGGGTGCCTTCATGCAGCAGGGCTGTGACATATCTCCAAGGTGGGTCAGCTCCAGCAGACACCTGGATTGAATGGTGACAAGAAATAAAGTAGAAATGAACGTGTTCAATTTTTTTTTCTGAATTCTGTGGAGCAGATTCCATGCACACTGGTGTCCAAGTTTGTTATGAGATTGAATCATATTGAGGTAGTTACTCTTTAGGTAAAAACTAGTGCTTATTGCAGGGAAAGGGATCTTTAGCATTAAAGCATCAGCATGCTGGACAGGCGGTATAATGATCCTAATTTTGAAAACCTCACATGACTTGTCCTAACATTCTTCAGAATTTTATCCAAATAGAACAATCATTAGCCTCTTTCTAAAAGACTGGCTTTTTGTTATTTTATGTGTGTGGCATGTGTGTTGTCAGCCAGCTACTGCCATGCCTCTAAGCTGAACACCAAGTTAATAACAGCTCTGTTCTGGTCATCTTATGTAAGTATTTGCACTATTCAATGGTGCAATGTAAAATTTAAGACAATCTGCCATCAGCTGTATGGTGGATTTAAGGCACAAACAAAATGGAAACACAGCTACAGTAAGCAGTGTGTCATTTTATAAATAAACACAGATTGGACGAGTCTTTTTGAAGTGTTGCAGGACAGGATAGATCAGTGAAATTTAGCCAAACGTAGTGCTTACACTTGATAATAAGAGGATATTGATAACCTTTACACCAACTGGTACACCTTTTTAGAATGGGAGACTTCCGATGCATTTTATGTGTAACACTCGAAAACAAATTTACAGCCAAATAGGTACTGATTAAAAAAGATTAAAAAAATCCGATATCTTTTACTATTTTCTTCTAGCCCACTGATTGATTTTCTGCTCATTTTAAGTATGAACCAGGAAATTCTAAAGACTTGTGACCATCTATACACTGTAAACAACTGGTATATGCTAGCAGCTTTGCAAGCACAACATGTGACTAACTGCATTCTTTGTTTCCCCATCATACACCGTCCCTCTGTCAGGTCTCTTTCAGGGCGTATCGTTGGTGGTGTTTGGTGGTTTTTCACCCTTATCATTATCTCCTCCTACACTGCCAACCTGGCCGCCTTCTTGACCGTGGAGAGAATGGTGTCGCCTATAGAGAGTGCTGAGGATCTAGCAAAGCAGACAGAGATAGCATATGGCACTCTGGACTCAGGCTCAACGAAAGAGTTCTTTAGGGTGAGTAGAGGCAGAAAACATTTTTTTTTTTTGTGCAATATACCAGTTGACTTGCAGCTGCCAGATGATATGGCAAGTCACATTGAACCCAAAACATTGAATCATAAACCTTTCCTATATATTTAATCAACAACTGCTTGAAGCTATTCCTTTTTGTGCTTCATTTAAGAACCCTTGACCTTTGAAAAATTGCCCCTTAGAAGGCATCCTGACGAATAGGCAGTTCTTGTACTCTTTCGACATAAGTGTCAAATTTATGCAGCATGCACTGTAGTGCGCAACCTTGAGGCCTCTTGAGGCTGTCAGCAGAAAGCATGATAACAACAAGGAAGACACAGAGGTGATAAAACAGCAGGCTAATCAAAGCACCCACATAAGACTCAAATTCAGAAGGGTCAGTTCATGAGTTATAATTAGCAAGGTAGCCCTGGCTGGCAAATTGGCTATGATGAAGAAGAGCCCCCGCAGGTCAAACGAAGCAATTGGAAAGACATTTCAGAAGAATTCAGCGATATGTCCGCCGGTGGTGGGAAACTAGCTCAGCAATTAAGTTATAAATTAACTACAATCTGAGGCATGACCCTCTAAGAACTATTCACATGCTCACAGTACAAGAGTTAACCAAAGCTGTATGCTGTCTGGACAATCTGCTCTGGCATCCATAGATGTTTTAGCTCATGGTGTGTTCACAATGGCACCCCTGACAACCAATTCATGAAACATTGCTCTGACTGTGATGACAAAAAAGGCAATATGACAGTCTTTTATCTTATGCTCTCTCGTTACTCATCAGCAGGAGAGACACAATACATATGTTAAACAGCTGCAGTCTGTTGGCAGAGAGACTCTGTGTTGGAGTTGAATTTTGATTCACTACCAAAAAATCCAGACTCAAATCAAAGAACGACGAGGTACAGTCTACAAAGCATTTTTTTATTTTTATTTTTGGATTAAGGACTGCAACCCCTTGTGAATAAGGCATATGAAATGTAATGCAGTGCAGATAATGCTTTTTATTTAGGAATAGATAAGGAGTGACAGTAAATTTATTTTTCATGGAACAGCTCACAAAACGCTGTCACTGTTATGCTTTTAATCAAACGTGCAGTGCAGGTGTAAGCCTGTAAAGTCCATGATAGTGGCAGTTGAAAATGGAGACGACCTGAAAGGTTTGCTGTGTCACAGAGCAATGGGAAATGTGTATGGGGATTTCCATTCTTATGTATTCTGTCTTACGAGTGTCCTTGTTATACATCCCAAGTCTTCAAACAGGAAATGACATGTGTGAAGCTCTGTTCCAGGGGACTTCTTAATTAAAGCTGCAGAGGACTGACAAAGAAGAAAACTCACTGATTAATAGGAGTTCAGGTTCCATTTCAGGTCTTTTTCTCCAGAAAATACATTCATTGCTAATTAGACCCATATGGCATCAGCCAGCTAGAGATTTTAAGTCAATCCAACTTTTCAAACCAGGGTAATGTCATCACGTCCAACACCATCAGCCTTTAATTTTTTATCCTTTCTCCTGGTTTATTTTCCAAGGTTCTCTCACAAGAAGAACAACTTCTGTGATGGAAAGGATTTCGTTTTTTTTTTAGCTGCATATAATTAGGAAACATAGGTTAATTAATGCTGTTGTTTTTGGGTAAATTATTTTACTCATTTTTCTACCTGACAGGAACCATAATGCTCTGTGACGTTTGTATCTTCCTGAAAGCTTTGGATGTTATATCAAACACTGAGTTTTACAACAGATTCACCTTTAAGCCTAAATTCTGATGCCCAGTGACACTAGAGCAGCTGGCCTGGGAGCTCATTGATGTGCCCTGTATAAGCCTTAAACACTCAAGGCATTTGCCACTGGCTTTCTTAGAGCTCTTGGCATTTTCCCCAGACTACCATGCTTGCTTGAAAACATTTCCTGGCCACTCTTTAGCATGTCTGGTTTAACTCGAAATGCCTGCTTTGTGTAAACACTGCAGATACAATGCACTTCATTTCTTTGCTTAAAGTTAGCAAATTATGGTTTTAGTTATCTGAAAATAATGAAGAGGTTCATAAGTTCTCATTGACAGAATGTTTGGAACTCCTGTTGCTGATATTGATATTTGATGGTTGATATTTTCTGAACCCCTTCTTGGAAAAAATAACTGTAGATTCTCTGCAATGTTAAATTTTACGTCAGTGCAAAAAAAAAGGGCTATTGTTGACCTCTTCCTAAGTGCCCCCATATGCAGTCTTCTGTTCAGTTCAAATCAAAGATATGATCAAAGAATGTATGCTCAAGTTGTTTTCTATGTTGAATTGGTCCCATGAATTTAGTTTTTTTATCTTGTTTCTTTGAGCAGATTTTATGATGTCTGTTTTTCAATCAAACTAGGTAATCAATACCCTCAGCTTTACAAAACCTCTTCTATACCTAACCCACTGTTAGCCATGATGTGCCTCTCCCCATGTTTATCTTTTGCTCCTTCTCAAACTGAGTTGGAGGAGGTTTTTTGAAAGAGCTCAATCTTTGCCTCATGAGACCAAAGTATGCAGTTTTAGTTAAACTCCCCCTAAACTTCAACCATCATTTAACTTTTATACAGTCAGGAAGCAGAAGAATTTATGGACTCTTGAGTTTATGGACTATTTAACCTGTTAAAAGACCAATCAAAAAACTTAGTTTTACTTTACTGGTAGACTCAAAATTCTTTTTTTTTAAAACAACTCACAATGCCAAAAGTTCAAAGAAGTTTCTTTACCATTTTAGAAGTTAGCTAAAAGCCCAAAGTATCACAGATTCCTGACAATACTTCAAAGACAACATAAAGTAATTTTGCATATATTCATCAGTTGTTTCACGTCAAAACCAATTGGGATTTTTTGGTGCAGAAAGCTAATCTCATCTTAACCAAACACCAATTCCAGTTAAAGTTCCTATGGAGTTCTAAAATCAAATAAAATATTAACAAAAAATATATATATTTCTTCTTAAGTCATGTCTTCTAATTGCATCTCTGCTATTCTCTCGCTGACTAGGCCTGAGTGTAAGTTTAAAATGGCTGAAAGCGACAGGCAGCTGCTAGAGAAGCAAAAAATAATAAATTATGGGTGGTTCTTTTGTTTTGTTTCTCCTGGACATTCTTATAAACTTAGAAAATAGAGCGTAAGTTAAGGTCTGGGTTTTTATAAATACTGCCTTAGGTCACTTCAACAAAAAGATTGATTATTTAAGAGTTATTTACACATGTATTCATTGTACAGGGAAAAAATTTGATCTAATAACATTGATGATTAAAATTGTTTGACATGGTTGATTACCTAAAATAAATGGAATGGATCACTGAAAGCAAACCCAAATGTCCCTCCATACTCCTCTTTAGGCATAAAGGCAGGAGAGTTATAACTGCATGGAGAAATAAGGATTTTGATACCTCCAAGACGAAAAAAAAAATTGTTGGCCATTACCCAAAGCGTCAATGGCAAACCATCATGCATCTTAGTGATCTTAGAATGGTGGAGATAGCTAGGGTGCAGGCACCAATACATTCCGCAGAGCAGAAAAATCAATTTCACGTCTCAGCTATTGTGGCACACACAGTTGTTTCAGGATGGCCTGGTACAATGGTTAGTAAGCAGCTCTTTGTCCTTTGCAGACTAGTATTAGAGGAGGGTTTCATGGAGAAGAGATAGAAAGGCGATTCTGTGTAAGAAAACCTTAGGTAGTCGTATACAGCACAACTCCCAGAGCTCTTGTCACTTTGTGTTTTTTGAATAGCGTTAAGTAAAAGGGAGGTTCCTACAAAGATCAGAGTCTGTTTGCATGACAGAAAAACCTGACAAATGTGCATGCTTCGAGATAGGCGTAACCTCAGAGGAAAAGTACAGTCCTCTGAGGATTCTCTAAAGTAAAGAAGAGCGGCAGCAGGCGGAGGGAAACCGTTGGAGTCCGGCACCCAGCATCAAAGACGAGTAATTGGTATTCAGGGTGAAGCATGTGGTACTTCAGTAACAATATACACCCCCCCAGCCTCAACTTTCATCTCTGCCTCCTTGAGATACAGGTAGTCCTGGCATACAGGATTCTGAAGGGAAGCAGCAATGTTCGACGGACAAAATGGAAGGGAAGTTCTTTTCAATGAAATGTTGCAGAAGTGCTCACCATTGGCCTTTAAATGCACAAGCAGTAGAGCATACATGGGGGAGGCTGTAATGAAAGCAGTCCTGCATTGCCAGAGGGAGAATAATAAAGACGCTGCAGTTCGTAGGCTAGTGGGCAGAGGGCTGGAAATGCTGCGTAACTCAAAATCGATACAGATTAAGTGGTTACTTGGAATGGAGAGGTCAATTTATTTGACTTAGGAGTTTAATCACTTGTCTTTTTGGAGAGGTTTTAATGACATGTTTTGAGATTATAAAGAAAAGAAAGAAAATCTCTTTTCACTAACTTATACAACAATCCATTAAAATGCAATATCATACGGCCCCTCTCCCTGTCAATAAAGCTTTTAGAGGTATACTAAACAATCAGAACTTAGCAGAGATAGGCCTTAGAATTGGCTGAGACTTTTCTTCCATTGCAAGAAGATACTGTGCTTTTAAAGAGCGGAATTAAAAAGAAGGAAAAAAATCATAATACAATTAGATATTTTATTGTATAACTGCTGTTATTGTTTTAGCAATAAAGCAACTAGGCTCATTGTTTTGCAACTTGTTTCATAGTTAAGCTATGTGTTTCATAGCAGATTTTTTACAGAAAAAACCCTGTAACAAGCAATATGTGGGGCTGTAATTAAAAACATAGAGGATGCTAAATGTCTTAAATTAAATTATATTTGAATTACAGCAAAAGTAACAATTACACCCTCATAAGAAAAGCAATTAAATGCATGCATTAGTAAGACTTATGAACATGCATAGTGATTTAACACAGTTAAAATCGTCTAAAGTCAGATTCTTTTTGTAAGTGCTAAGCAGTTTTTATGTTGCTCGTAAAGGATAATTGTTTTACAGTC